CACGGCTTATATATGACCTCGATTATAAGAACAACATTATCCCTGGTGAATATCGAATACAAATAAGAATTCGCAATCTATGATTGCGTTATACCAAAAAGAAAATTCACATTTTTGAGTATTTGTTAAAAGCTCTAAGCTAGAAAATGGGACAGACTAATGGACTCTTTGATAGCGAACAAGAAACTTCCTTTAGAAGACAAAAACGGTGTATTTTTGCCACCAAAATCGCCTGGTGGTCACTCATAGATGGGGAATTCCTCACCTCACATTAGGTTGGATGCATGTTCGTTTATTTTCTTTGGTGATCTTAAAAGCTTTAGCTTGGAAGTCGTACTCATCTCGTAGGGCCTTAAATAGCTAAACTAAAAATACGTCTAATGCATCTAATCCTCTGTAGTTAAGTTTGAAGTTTGTCTGGAAGATCTTAAATTTTCAGATTGGTATGCTGAGCTACAAGAAAAATATGTTGACTTCCATCTGTGAGTCTGTTCTGAGGAAAGCAGAGCTCCTGTCTACACAGATTGGAAGCTGTTGGGCGTTTAAGGAAGATTTGGTTAAAGTTTGGTGCCGGAGATCGGCATTTTATCTAAACTACTGCTTTAATATAATGTCGTCGACAGGATAATAAACATTTATGCTAAACATTTATTGGTCAGGCTCCAGTTACCAAACTCATGTGTCATAATTTCTCTCTAAAACCGGCTCGCTTTGAAATGAATTGGAACATTAATCGATGGTGGCAAAAATAAATGAAGTGACCATTTGAGGAGCGTAGTGAATCGGAAATTTAGGTAAAAGGTGCATGTCGATGCCATGACTGCGCTGGAAACGACATCTATTAGAGGCTAAAGGATAGTATGTTTAAAAGGTTCTCAACGTACATCTTTTGCAAAAGAACGTAGCAAACCCTCTCTCTTCTAATTGCACTAAAAATGTAGTTCATCAAGACTTGTGCACTGCTTTCAGATAAATTATAAGCCTTGCACCTAATCATAAAGCCATTTTTAGACTTTATAAAGCAGTCTTAGTGTGAACAGCTGGAGCCGCTTATTTACAAGAAATTCCTACGGCAAAGTTAATTGTGCATACGTATTAGTGGCCCCATATGCAAGAGGGTGAGGTATTCGTTGAATTTTTTTCCGATGACAGAACCATGTGTTCACCAAGTCACCCGTAAGAGCCGTCCATTCTTTTAAAATAATTTCAACCTTATAATTTTGTCAATGGGATGTGCACAGCGACTTCATACCCCTGTTCTTCTCCGAAACTAAGTTTGTCATTTTGGTACTAAGCTCTCTGGGAGTATCAAATTTACTTAAAACACTCGCTTCTTCCTACGGTAACAAAAAAGTCAATTCAAAACTTTTTTAAATTTCACAGAGGAAAGCTTTACAGGGACTGCTTTTTTAAATTAGATCAAAAGTGGTTGTCTGTTTTGGCCGTTACACTTGATATTCGACACAATTGTCAATCATTATCACAGCGCGAAATGCTTTCTAACTTTACTTAGCTCCAACTCCATTTGCATTTTAATGATACGTGAGGTTAGTTCCTGAGCTTCATCGTCTTAGCAGCTTATCTTCGCTAACTTTTACTCATTTCAGACAAAGTACCAAAACTCTCAAAACGCTATCAGTCAACTTCGTCAAGACCTGACATCTCGCATGCAGGAGAAGGAGGAAGAACTTGAGAGTCTTAAGTGAGAAACTGCTGTTATTATTTATTAAAATTTCATTATTTGCACTCACTGAAGTTGTTTGTTCATAAGTACTACTGATGAATTTAGAAGTCAAACAACAATAGTTGCTGTTACTGTTTTGAGTCGTGGTCATTATCTTGAGTGAGAGGAAGGCGAGAAAAGTCTCTAACTGATGACAATGCATGTGATGGGTATGGTAGTGAATAAAAATGCCCAAAAACATCTTAAAGCTTAAAATCAGATGCTTTAGTCAAATGATTATGAGATTTATTGTGTCGAAAATAGACGCTCAAGCCACCGCACCATTGAGGACTTAAACGGAGTGCTCAAAGACCTGGAGTCAAAGCACCGATCCGAGGCTGCGCGTTGGAAAAAGAAGATGGAGGCGACAATTGGAGACATGGAACACGAACTGGCGGTGGAGCGTGAAGCTAAAGAAGCGGCAGAGAAAGCTGTACAGGAGGCAGAGGACCGCTACAATCAACTAGCTATAGAATTCGACGACGTAAACCACACCATGGAGGAGATGAGGTCTGCCCTCCAGGTGAGACTGGAGTTTGGCCATCATTACTGATGTGAATGCTGATCACGTATGAGAAGGTATACGATCTGTAAGGTGTGACTGAGAATGCTCTTTCCACACCTGATCGACAAAAGAACTTCTTCGAGACTGGAAGTAATAGTTGTCAAATAAGCAGTTGCAGATGCTGTTGCTTTACCTCTTCATTCACGATTTATGCGTGTCAGATGGTCCTAATGAGGTAGTCAGTACTCCAAAATCATGTGTATGTGCCCATTTGGTTAAGAGAACCCGAAAACTTCCAAGGTAATGAACAGTGGAGGATGACTAAAGCATAAGGAAACTCTTCGCCATATGGCGAGCCATAAACAACCATCTGCTGCCTTCTGGAAACGCCAGACATACATCAAGCGCATCAAAATAGAAGGTTTTCATTTTCTTCTTCAATCTAAGCATGATATTTGTATTTATATTTTAGACATCAAATTTACATTGTGAAATGTGTAAGGAGTACGTGGAGTAGCTCCAAGCTATATTGATCACCCAGGCTTGAAATTATGTGTAATTTTATGCATGAGTTACTCATTCTATCGGTATTGCTGTTACCAAGGTTAAGAGAATAATTAATAATGACAAATGTTGATGACAGGATCATCACCGGAAAATAACATGTTTATCTCCCATTATAGCTCAGTGAAAGCCGCCGGCAGACGGTATCAGAGGAGCTCGAAATGCTTCGGGTACAGCTGGAGGCATCCGAGCGAAGTCGCCGAAAAGCCGAGTCAGAGACTCAAGAAATAACCAATCGAGTGTCTGAACTGAATGCGCAGGTCAACAGTTTAAGTGCCGACAAACGACGCCTCGAGGGTGAACTTGCAATTGCACTAGGAGACATTGAAGACCTGAACGGCAGTAAACAGGCATGCAACATCAGTTTAAGAAGCGTCTAGAAGGTGTTATTTATGAATACGGTCTGCATTTAATGGAAAAAAAGACTAAGCCTAGGTTCTTTTTATATCCAAGTATGCTTAGACCAAATGTAGAAAACCACTTCCAAAATCTAATGGTCACAATCCGGGATATACATGTAAAATATATTCCACACAGTTTATTTGGGCATGCGTTGTCCAGTATTTTAGGGCAAGTGTGGTGCTTTCAAGGAACATGTAACGATGAATCATGCTAAAGGAAATCCAGTGGCCAGTCTGACGCCTGCCGTACATGCATTGACGTAGCATTTTTCTGTCTGCTTTGCATAATCCACTTGCACTCGTGACCACGCGCGGCTGGTCTGCACTTAGACAACAGACATGCCAAACACTGATGGTCATGTGTGAAAATTCCTCGATTATTTAATTGGACGATCACGCATTTATTATTGGTGTTTTGCATTATTTTTAAATTTTCCTTAATAATAGGGTAATGAGGAGCGCATTGCGAAGCTACTGCTTGATGTGTCTCGACTGACGGCTGACTTACAGGCGGAGCAAGACCTTGCACGCCGAGCTGATGCGGGAAAACGCCAATTGGAGACGGACCTTCGTGATGCTAATAACCGTCTAAAAGCTGCAGAGCAGGCATGCGAGGACGCCGAGAAGGACTCCAATAGGAAAATCAGTGGAATGGAGGCACGAATTCGTGACGCAGAAATGACCGCTGAAGCAGAAGCTAAACGTGTTAGGGAGCTCACTGCTCACCTTAGGTATCTCATGAGCTGGGCCACTCTCGGATAGGGTGCATACTAGAATCGTAGAGGGGATCATGAACCGCTCAAGTCCGATTAGTATTTACCTTTGTACCATCTCTTTATAAATTTAAATCGCTTTATGATAGCCGATTTTAAATATCGTACGTCTATTCTGTGAATGAAACATCGTCCGATAACAATAATTTCTTTAAAAGGGACGATGACGTGTAATTGCACCTTTTTAGGTAGACAATTTTAGTAATTCACTACAATTCTAAATCTACGGATCTGATCTAGCCGATCATCGCCTTTGCTTAACCTTGAGCCACGACGAAGCGAGCTACGGTAACATGTTGAATCTCTTAATCAAAGTAACAAGTATCATTGTGTTAGCGTCAGGGAGGATATCTAGATGTAGTAGTATGCACATATTTCATGGTTGATAGCATCTTTTTCCGCAGTTCACAAGCCGCGATAGGGGTGGTCCATTGGCGACAGTTTTGTCCAACAGTTGTAACAGTTCGGTGATTGAGTGAGTCAAAAAGTGTCCAAATAATGCGTTTGGAAAGAAAACACCAAACAGTAGCGGCTCTAATGTTATCACTTTACTAATCCTCAACAAATTCCAACGGAGTTAGTTGAATATGATTAAAATTTTGCGTAGTAATCACAACGGCAAATGTTCGTGCTGACCCTTTGTTGTGGTTAGTCAGAGAGAGGCCTGACAAAGTAGGCAGTCAGCACACATGAACCGCCCTGACCACTGTCACGATAACCTATTGATCCGCAGCACCATCCACAGATCGTCCTCCATGACACGTACGTTGGAATGAACCAATAGAAAAGGTCCAGCTGTACCACGCGCCACCATAAGTCCCATTGCATTCCTGGGACGAACTTTAATGAATTACCCATGGTTTTTTTTAAGTTCTTGGAATGTTCCCCCGACGCTGTATCACTTTGGTTTCGTGTAACGCAGATACAGCATTCACAAGTATTTACTAAATGAATTTTTCCAATTGACCCTTCAATGGACAATGCTTCGCTAAGCGTCTGATAGGACCCCACAATTTCTCCTTATTCCCTTTAGCTGGATTCTAGTCCTTCGTGGTGCACTTTATCACGAATTTTATGCCCCCTAGTCCATTGCTTTAGGACAATGTCTCAATCCCTGAATTTCATGCAATATTGCCTTACTGAAATTGGTGTTCAACTTTATACAAAATCCATTTATGCAGATAAGTATGAAAGATTCTAATGATCCGTCAGCTGAATAAAAGTATTCAACACAAGTAACACTTTTCGCCATTGAAAAATCATGCTTTTAATGTGTATTTTAGGTTGGTTAACACTAAAATTGCTCTTGCTTTTTTTATTTGTTGGCTGTTCTACAAACTAGGTTTGAGAATTAGTGGTCTAGGAGGTGAACAATCGCAAAGTCAATGATGATGTTGTTTGCTTCGCAGAAAGGTGGAACGTGCCCACAAGGAGGTTAGTCAAGCCATTGAAGAGGAGCGTTCACTGGCGGCGCAGATGAAGGAATTGATGGAAAGAAGCCAGGGTAAACTTAAAAGCATGCGCCGTCAAGTGGAAGAAGCGGTAAGTGGTGACTTAATCACCGTTCACTTGACATTACGAAAATAGTTTGCAGAATTGCGTACTAGCTAATTCGTTCTGTTGTTCATTGCCCGTGCTTATGTGAATGCTTGTGTTGCGCCTACTGTAGGCAGACCTCGGGTAAACGTCACCATATTTAACTTAAAAAATTAACCCTCAAAATTACTGAAAATTTGAGTGAATTATTTGTACCGTATGAATTGTGCCATGAGAGCAACGTATCATTTAAAATGCTATTTACATTTTAAGATTTTGGCCGATTTTATTCTGCAAGGTGCTTAGAACGAAGCGAAACAGCCTACAAGAATCTAAATCGGTATTTACTTCCTACAACCAAAAAGAGTGGAGGTATAAGGCCGAACCAATGGATTTATGCCTAATTGTGGGTAAAATTAACTATAATTCATTCTGCCCTACTGAAGAGACGAAAATCTCAGTTGATAATGATACATTTTGAGAGCTTTATTAGCCATTTTGAGCTACCAAAGCCTTCTGACAGTAGAGTGATAACTGGTCCTCCTCTTCTAGGAGGCTGTGGCCGCAGCTGCAAACATGAAGTTGCGCAAGGCCCAGGAGCAGCTGGAGGAGGCAGAACTGCGTGCTTCAATGGCGGAGCGCCGCGCCAGCCTACAAGCGGAGGCTGCACGAGAGAAACAGACAACACTCATACCTCGAATGCGATCAACCTCGTTTGTGCGCGAGGGATCCACCTTCAGTGCCACCGACTATACGCCCCGCCGCTCACGCCGCACTCCTGCTTTTCGCAGTGTAGAAAGCGAGGAGCGTGATATCATCAATGGAGTTGCCGACTAGGCCGTGGAACTCTTCAACTCACCTTGACATGAAGCTGCTCAGACATCTTTTCTGCGTATCACTTCACTCTCCTTCTTATTGTGCCTAGTGGTAATCCCAGCGTACCAACCTCGGTCTCCCCTCCCTTCCTTTCGAACTCCTTTCATTGTATAAGCATTTACTATACTCTCCCCTTTCAACTTTCGCTAGTACTTTAACCATTGGAGACCCTTAAAATGCTTTCATTTCATCACTGAGTTATGTCCCTTGGCCCTTTACCCCTTCTTTTGTTCCCCATTTAAGTAAGCCACGGATTACTACAGTAAAGTACCAACAGGATACCAATTTTTTGTCATAGGGGTAGAATCAGACCTCTATCAAGACAATATGCGAATGGATTACATAAATTGAGTGTTTAGCTTATTTCTTTTACCACTGAGCTTCTAAACGCCTCAACTAACCGTAATTCGCCTACCAAATTCAGCAGTTTTAGCTTCCTTAGTGTCTGTAATTCTTATCTTCTCGAAAACGTTAGGCATTTTAAAAGGTATTGCAAGCCTTATTGTAAACGCAGAAGCCCATTTTGCCGTGTTTTAAAACCGAAATGAGCTCTATTATTTGTTGAACAGTAGAACGATAAAGATTAAATCGCATAAGTGGGAGTACAAAATTACTTGGGCACCAAGCCACGAGACTCCGGGAAGTGGGCTGTTTTCAGCTGACACTCGGACGCTTTTGGGCTGAAAGTAAAAACATTTTAATTTAAAACTGTTGCAAAGTGAGAAGTATAAGAGTGAGGTTTTCAAAGGTTGGCAAGACTTATGGCAAGCACTATGAGACTGATATTTTCCGACTTCTCTCACCTATTGGATGCATCATAATGGCAAATGCTGGAGGGATGGAAGGGAACAACAATAGGTCATATGCGTTGCAACTTGAGAACTGATTTGGAAAGGCGCACACGTCCGGTACTAAAGTGAACTGCGCACGTGTGAAAGGCTAACCTCATTCCCACAGTTCAAAACGTTACTCTCTCCCATTTCAATCACTTCATGTCTGTAAAAAATAACTTACTTTGCTTAAATAATAAATTCCTCACTTCAATTCGATTTTGATAAATACCTTACGAATAAAGAATACGTTGGTGATTTCATCGAAAACTTCGCTGATTGGAAAAATTTAAATTAGACGTCAAAAATGCTAACCTATAGGGCTTTGCCATTCGAAATCTCCTCATAAGTAAAGGCTCTTGGAACTTCGATGGGTAGTGACGGCATCAGAAGCGACGTATACGACGAGACCTCTATTTACCTAAACAACTTTTCCTGTTTTAGCTCAAGTCTTGCACCTTCCTAATGCTAACTGACTGAGACACTTTGCTCTAGCTCATGCACAGTGGAGGTGGGCACGCAAATTAACAAAAGGCAGGCCAAATGGTACCAGGATGGGTACATAGAAGTGATGACCTTTTTCCAAAAAGATGACGCATGTAAATAGCTTCTGTTCACCTACAGAATACGATGACTGATAGAAGAAAAGCTACAAGTCTATAATGGCCATTTGATTTTCAAAAGAACATTTATAATCAGCCTTTTTGGTGGCCATTCAAGCCATTTGCAAAACTAAACGTGATGAGGATATTTACAATTGCAATTATGCACAAAAGTACACCAACATCCAGTGTTCTGCCCCTCCTGACTGCATACACTTCCTCCAACTATGGTTGGAATGGAAGAATGATAATGGTAAGGTAAAGCACGGGGATACTTAAGTCCACTTACTTAGGAGTTGGTAAAATCCACATGAGGCAAAATAGAGAAGTTTAGAATAGCTGGAGAAACGGCCAACTGCATTCGCAGTACCGAAACTCATACTTAGCAATACGCTAACTCGCAGGTGTGAATAAAACAGGAAAGTTAAGACAAGATGGACTGTCAAACAAATATTTCTTAATAAAAGTAATTTGTGGGCATACCAACGGCATTACATAATTGCTCGCTTTACTGCAAAATCCGGCCTTTTTAAATTGCAAACAATCCTCAGTCTTAAAGTTTAATGACTTTAACAGAAAAAAACGTGAAAGCGGTGAAGTTAACTAAATTTACAGACGCAATGAGGTTGCATTTTTTAATGAACGTGTCTTCCCACGGTATCACAAATAGTAGTCGTGATTATCACAGAAATCAACTTCCGCCATAAACTCTAAACGCAAGCGGATTTTCGATAGTCAGAAAATATGCAAAGACAGTCGCAGAATTCCATAACTGTAAATCAGAAAATAGGAAGTGATTAATAAAATACTTACCGCCTATTCCTCTTCTTCTTATTGATTGGTTTCACTTTAAAAATAGAAGGACTAAAAGCGAAAAAATCCTTTTACAGTCATCTATCACGTCCTAAAACTGCTTACGTACGTTGGACCGACGAAGCGACAAATGTAGGCCACTCCACGGTCCCCCAACCGGTCCATAAGGTGTTACCCTCTTCGAGCTCTAAGTTTCGGCACTAACATTTCAGATCTTCGCTTTAGTTCATATGTTTGATGTTCATACAAATGACTCCAGTCATTTTCTACAGCATATTGCGTAAGGTTGTGCGCCTTTGTTAAATTAATACGTGAAGATGGAAAAAGCCTATGAACGTGAGTTGGTGCAAATGCCATAACTTACACAGTCTACGAACCTCAATGCAGTAAAATTGGTGATTTGGATTAAATATAATGTTTCCGCTTGCCATATAACCTTTTTTGGCATTTTATAAGGCAAAATTCTACAACATCCGGTTGTAAATTGGCATATTGTAGGCACAATAGTACAGATACAGATCGCAATAGTGCCACTTGGAGAGTCTAAGAAAGTGTGTCCAAGCATACCTTCCATCTAGCTCCAGATCCTCCTCGTCTTGTAAAGCTGCCTCGAGAGCGGCTACAATTTGCGGTGCCAATTCAGGGGGCTGATAGTCCAGAGTGGTCCGCGGAAGTGGGTCAAGGTCCAGGCGAAGAACATTCTCTCCACGAAATCGTATAGTTGTATTCAGTTGTCCGAGTATGCGAGCGTATCGACAGACTGACCTTCGCCGACCAAGGGCAGACGGTGGGATCAGGGGAGTAGTCTTGGTGAAGCTTTTGCAAGGGAGACAAATCAGCATCGGAGTATTAAATTGTCAGGAACTTCGATTGAAAACATAGTTATGAAATGAGCATTGCTGAGGAGAAAAGCCCACCTCTATTCTTGACTGTTGCAGGACCCTCATCCTATAAACGAGCCAACGAAACTTATGCCATTACAGACCTTTTCAATTCAGAGGTGATATGAAGTAATTTGTAGTCTTTTTCACTTTAGATGTTTGAAATATCTTCATTCTGCTACAACACTTGCAATAACTTATTAGGTATTGCAATGGTATCAAAGTGGGATAGGAATCTAGCTACTTCCAGTCACATTATAAACGCAACAAACTTGATCAATCCTCAAGAGGCTCAAAGCGCAATGATAAGGAAAGGAAAATCCCATTCATGAAGATGTTGTTTCCTATTCCAACTCGAATCACAAATAAAAAATTGAGGTATTATTTGATTAAAGCAAATATAGAGGACTTCTACCATTGAAAAATTAACAAGTAAATATTTGAAGCCAACTTTGATTTTTAAGAGACTGCCATTTCCTCGAATTCTACCTTAGCATAAATTAAGCGGCAAATGAGGTTCCATCCCAGTACCTGAAAAGCAGTAGTTTGGTGCAATAAGAGATCATTAGCGAATTGGAATTAGTAGCCCTCCCAGGTGATGCAAATCTTGGGGATAAACCCTATTTCTAGCCACTTGCTAGGACCTGGTTTTGGGAAAGAAAACATTGTCAAATCAACTATGATCTTGTACTGTCGAAGTCACTTGCATGCTATCATCACATGAATGCCAAGTCGAACGCTAAACCCCATGTGCTTTGAGGCGTCAAACGCTCAATGCACCTTGTAAGTTGTTATGAGGGCCGATCATTCTTTCCATACAGTGATTTATCTAATGTTAACAGCTATGCAATTTTGCTGACTTCCTAGATAGGTGAAGGAAACGTCGAAAGTTGAAAAACCAGCTTCTCAAAGATGCCTTCATGAATTGATTGATAAGACGGTGCTCTGGCAATAAGTAATAATTGGTTCTTCATACGGCCCCATACTTGTCAGATCAGTAGGGTCGAACGAGTAACTGCGACATCAGACTTAGTTTTCTCCTTATTAGGAAAAGCTGATGCTATCCTAAAGGACTCATTTATTGCAAACAAATGCTGTTGAAATATTTGAATTATACAGTTAGGAGACGATATTAATATAACACTTCAACAAATGTCGTTTTGGAATCTTCTATGGTTTGTTGGGCGGAAATCCGAATTAGACCAACCTTGGCTAGGCACGCGCTGAAAGGGTCGAGATGAAAGATTTAACCTCTTCACGAGTCGAATATAGGTGAATTAATCAATGGCCATTCCACCATTGTTTTATGTGATGCCAATGTATTTACGCGCTTAAAAGGAGGAGATGAGATGGAACAATCTTTGTGCACGGTAAGCCTAACTCAAAATCATGCGCTCATTAAAATACCCTTTGGCCTGAAAGTAGGTTTAGTATCAAGGCAGAAGAAAATAAGAGGAAGAAAAAGGGAGCACACCCGTTATCTGAGACAACTTAACTATCACCTTTATACATGAATAAATCATTTCAAAAGCTGAGTTTTTCCTTCCCAATTGTAAACTAAGGGATAATGCTCTGCCGAATGGAATTAGGAAATAAGATGAAAGGAGTTTGTGACCTATCCGCTTTTATCAAGCCTTAACTCCCAATACTAGGATAAGCAAAGGTAACCGGGAGCTATGAACCGATGTCTGCAGAGCAAAATGAACGTTAGTCATGAGTGCCAAGAGCCGAAATTAATCAAATGTTCGTTCGGTAATTTCATTGTTGCTTCATGCTGATAAAATGAATGTGTAGAAACAATGCAAGCAGAACTTATGTCAGCGTTTTACTAAGTCTCCAGGCACCCCAACTGCATACATACTCCCTGGATAATTTTGATCCATTCATAAATGGACATAATCATAAAATTTATGAAAAGTATATTCCACTAATTAGTTTCAGAACCAGAGAAATATTTTTGACACTATCTAGATTTATTCACAACACCGCCATATCTCATCCAATTTTCCCTTTAAATCGGAGCAAATACTACCTCCTACAGGTGACTAACAGACAAGCAGAAATCCCAAAGCTATTGCTGCGTCTTCAAATCCTCCAACCTACGGTAAAACTAGTCGACCCCCTTGACATAAATTTTACTGGTCTCCTTGGCTCTCTTTAAATCAAAACCCCTTCAAAATTTCCGACTTCAGTAGATGCTGAAACGCAAGGTTACTTCACCCTCGCTTTAGCAATATCCAACGTGTAAACAGAACTCTCAGGAAGGAAAGCCTAGTTGCTAGTAAGTCAATACACCTATGTGAATGGCAGCTTGCCAAGTTCGATCAACCTAGCTGGAGTTGTCAGAAGTACAGGCAATTATTAATGTAATAGGAAAAAACAACAGATATGATAGTCCCCTACCCCTCAGTAAGGTGTGGCACTAGATCTAAGGGTTTAAATCGCCAAATTCCCACTTCCTCATCGAAGTATGCACGTTCCTCCAGTCTTTTTTTATCGTCAGGCGGTACAAAATTGTCTAGTATCAACTGACGCAGCTTCATATCCCTCAAAATTTGCCCTTGAATTTCCTCTTGCTTCTGCCTCTCAATTGTGTGCTCTTCCTGTAGGTTCTTCGTCTCCTGTTTAATTCGCTAAAATGTATGCATAAAAACATTGGTGATTCCACTTTTCAGTAGTTAGACTCATTTTTGTTTACTGAAATAACCCAAGTAAGATGCTTTTAGAAGTCAAAAAAATGACAGTAAGTTCAGAGTGGATACAATCTACCTGTGGTTGGATGTTTTGTGATTAGCAAAAAGCCTAGTGGTACTTAACTCCACTGAATGACGTCGGACGTTCATTCTCAAAGCGTGACTTTCATCACACCCCGTCTACTTCCACACATAAGTTCTTCGAAAAAGGAGCCCTTGTTAATTGCGATTTAAGTACCCATGTATTATTTATTTTGTGTCAAATCAGCGATCACCACCTCAAGTTCAAATCACTGCATTCGTAAATTTGGATAGCTAGTTACTGAAATCAACTGACGTGGAGTTAAAGTTTAGTTAGCATGTTCGAAACCACAGTTCTGAGACATCGCAATTAAGACCACTAGCAAAAGAATTCGGACTTCTTGACATGCGCAGAAAAGAGAGATGACCTGGATGCGTTCGAATAGTTTCTTCAACTTAGAAGTGTAAACTTCAACCTCATGCCGGAGAGAGGAGAAGCCCTCCTGAAGCGTCACTACGTTGTCCGACTCAGCGCGGACACGAGCACGCATGCGATGTTCATGACGCTGGTGAGCGACCAGACGGCGATGGTGCTTCGCCAATGCCTCCGCTTGCATTCGCGTCTGCACCTCAACAGCAGGTACCTTTGTCTCTGCTCCTCCCCCAAGGAGCTTAGATTCGAGACTCCGCAACTTTGCTTCCAATTCCGCTGTCTGTGCCTGCTCCTCCTTTACTCGTATATTCTTCCGCTAAGGAAAAATTAACGATTAATGAACAGATTATCCCTCATAAAAATGAAAGAGAGGATAATATGGTGAAAAGGAGGTGGGCTATCCAACTAGCTTTGGCTTCAAAGATTGCGGAAATTTAAGGGATTCATTGCCATGCGAAAGAAGGAGGTGAGGTTGCACTTCATTAAATCTGAGATCAAGAAATGGTTCATTGACTATACAGCCTTTGGTTGTTTCCATTAGAAATAATCAGTCAATTAATCCAGCCACAAATCCCTCTTCTGAGGATAACACTCAACTCGTGGACACACTATCATAGTGCAATGATTACGAAGAATGGAATTTGAATACGATGCAAAAGAGTGCACTACAAAATGAATGAAAAAACGTTTTAACCTTTAACTCTTCGAGTAAATATAGCTTCTCTTCATTAATCATATTTTGGTAGTTTATGATTCCCTCCTTTTCGATGGCCAATTTCTCCTGCTGTTCCTTCAGGTAAGCATCTCTGACTGCAACAGAGTCTTCCTCACTATCGTAGAATTCGTCCGGATCTTTAAGAAAAACTGGTGATTCGTCTCCATATCGAAAATTCACAGCTGAAAAGAGTACCATTAAGCGCCGCTTACCATTTGCTCCATCATCGCACTTCAGATGGATCGGCGGTCTGTCGCGAGAACTGAGCAATTGTTTTAGGCGATGAATTTCTCCCTGATATTCTCGAAGCAGAGCATCTTTGGGATCATCGTTGATCTTGGGGAGATTTCTAATATTCTTTGCTCGACTAGCATATCTCAGTGTGTTTATCGTCTCATCATAACTATAAGAAGATGGTCCAATATTGGCAACCATAACGGTCTTCGAATTACCTCCCAAGGAATCTACGAATCGGACAGTTAAGACCTATTTTGAGGGGAAAGTCATGAGCCAAGGAGAAATCATAAAGATGTGTCCAGTCATATGACCCAACCCAAAAAAATTCGTTTTTAAAATCCTACACTTGCCTTTTCTTCAAAATCGATAAGGCAATAACCTTTAAGTCATGATTGAGACAAACCTTGAAGCAGTCTTGTAAGTTTGGAATCTCTGTAGGGCACGTGAGTGCATTTTTCGTCCACCAAGGCGGAAATAACATTCCCCAATGTATGCAAGCTTAGATTGATTTTGGTAGCTTCGGTGAGACGCTCACCCTTGGGATCATAAATAAAGGGCTGTAAAAATCTACCAATCTAACCTCGGAGTGGGTCTTGTTTTGACGTTCGCTACCCGCTAGATCAACTAAGTTAAGTTTTCCCACCCGAATGTGACTCTGACCATCACGATCCACCTAATAGTTCAAATTTCATGCTGATGCAGCCATCACGTACCTCACAGCTTTCAACTGTCACTATAAAGATGGCGTGTGATCGAGAACTTTGTTCATTCATATTCGTAGCTCTGCATAAGAAAAATCGGTGTAAGAAAAGCTAGATTGATACATACCCAACAGACCGATTACTGCGGCCAATACTCATGAGCTTTTCAATCTCTGCAATGTTCTTTGTTAACACTGATGAAAGATCCTGAAATTAATGCACAAAAGAATTTCGACGATGATTCAGATAGCCCTGCATTGGGGTTAGTTGGACCGAGCAATTGAATGGAAGAGCTCTTAAACAATGCTGTCAGTTGCTACCTTATGCTTCAACTGGACAACCACCTCATTACCTTTTAAGCGAATATCGAAGAGCGGATCGGTCGTCTTATAATGTTAACACAAAACACCAAAATGAATTGGCTGCGATCACATCTCTTATAAAAGAGAGGGAAATATCATAATTAAAATCATTCATTCTTTACCTATAAAATCTATCTTTCATGAACATGGAAGAAAACCTCCTTCGATGATAGACCTTAGAGAAAAACTTAGTGCTTTTGGCAGAAGGTAAAGCCTCTGTCGGAATCTGAAGTGACATTGTCCTCACTTGTGCCCATAAGTACATGAATGAGGAGAGTCCACGGTACACTTGCTCCTTCTGCGAATCTCCAGCCCTGCTATCCCTTTGCGCAGCCTTACTTAGTCAAATACTCAGGAGTTACTTGAAAGGTAAAACAGTCAACTAGCTGAACAAATCAGTTACACAACTTAGGAATTCACATGTGTGGAGAAACCTTAATTCAGATTGCGGCTAAGCAAAGAGAACCTTTTACCTCACTGAAAAATCGCCCTTTGTCCCTGACCAAGGTGAAGAAAAACCCTCAGAGCAAATAGCCGAAATTATTAGCAGAAACAAGCGACGAGAAATTACAAGAACAGCAGTATTCCCGAACAACACTGCTGGTTAACTACTGGACTCTTGACAGTTGACGCGATTTATATAATTTATTACCTGCGAGTTCCCGTGACTTACTGTGACGTAAACTCCTCGATCACGTGTTTCTTTTATCTTTAGCTGCTTTGTTGGGCTTCTTCTAAGCAAATCGCGTATTTCCTCTTTGTATATTTCAAGATAACTAGCCCGAACTAGGAACTGAATTGATTTCGACTCATTGACGTAGTTGAAAATGTGTGCAAACGAGTTCGGCATAAGTCCACGTAAGTCAGGATTATCTTTTTCACCTACGAATCCCGCGTTTATCAACTCTCAACAACCTTGCATAGTAAAGGTTTTCCCAGTACCAGTCTGACCATATGCAAACACAGTTCCATTGAACCCCGAGATAACACATTGCACGATATCTGAAAAAGACTTCTCATATAATTCCTTTTGAGATGAGCTAAGAGATGGGAGTTCGTTAAGCTGCTTACTCAGGACCATAAACAGAGTCAAAAGTAAAAACAACACAACCACCCTCTAGTGATTTAACTTCCACACAGCCACTAGACTGCCTAACAAAAACACAACTTTAGAAAAGCATGGTTACTGAAAATAATACCAAGCCCAACCTCCCATGGCCCTCATCAATTTCCTTTTTATTCATTGGACGACATCTGACAACCACTTTCACACATTCTCTTTTGCCATCCTCCATACCCATACCCGACTTCGACACAAACCACCGTCACACACGCAAAGCGCGGCAGAATGAGCGCTACGGCTACCATTTTATAAGCCCGATTGTATGCACCACACAGTAAAACACATAAGTAACTTCAAAACTCCAGTCCAGAAAACGATTTGATGCTTTGTGTATAAATTCAGTTAATCCAGATGTGCTTTTTAAATACGGAATGTTAGTTGGCACAGTACAAAGTAAATGACATTTACACAACAAAACAGAATACAATGCTTACTTAATCATAGGTTAATTAAATTTTAAGTTGTTCTGCTTTGGTAATTACCTGATTTTAGCCAGTTCTATTAAGGTACAATTTTCTACGAAATTAATCACGAGCTTGTTTACACTCTTTAGTACTCAACGCGGTTCATTCGTAATTTCTTCCGCACGTACCGTTGCGGGAACGCAAAATGGGGTCGCTGTTCCGTTCAGAGGATATGCAACTCTCTCAACTCATCTTGCATACTGATTCAGCCTATATGTGCATTGCCCAATTGGGAGAACTGGGTGTTGTTCAGATTCGCGATGTAGGGCTACTTCGATTCATTTTTCGTTAGACGACTCCCGATGTTAATGCCTTTCAGCGCAAATTTGTTGATGAGGTGCGTCGTTGTGATGAAATGGAACGGAAGTTGCGTTATATTGAGAATGAGCTGCAAAAGGACGATTTTCCTATTTTCGAACCCGATGAAGTTCCAGAGGCACCGCCCCCAAGAGAAATGTTGGACCTTGAATCTAACTTAGATAAACTTGAAAACGAGCTTAGAGAGGTGAATTTCAGTCTCGAGCAAATGAAGAAGTCTTTCATGGAATTAACTGAGCTAAAGATGGTCCTTCGTCGCGCCCAACTGTTTTTCGAAGAGGTAGTTCTTGAAGCTTTCTACTGTTTGTTTAAATGTTTTCCCATTTTATGCCAATTGTTTTTGTCTAGGGTTCGTATGAGGTCAATGTGAATCTCGGTAGTGGAGACGAGATGCTTGTGGAGGTTTCAGAATCTCAGGGATCGAGAGACCTACGTTCTGGGTAAGAATTCGTAAATAGGACTTCAAGATCGTTGTCAAGTGCTATTGCTTTACTTTTGCGCACGATTCGCCCATTCGGCTTGCTTATCAGAAATGGCATCTGCTCCCCACTTGAAATACCAACACTTCTTACTTTCTTCTTTGTGCCGTTTGTCATTGGTGGGTTTATAGCTACATTGAAATGGTCCCTCAATCGGATGATTTCGGCGTTGGTTTTCGTCAAGGTCATGCTACATCTACAACGTACAGCAGTCACCATGTTGAGTGAGTTTTTAGGTCTATTTAATCAGCCTTTTGTCCAACATTGAGCGTTTGTGATGGAAATCAGCCGCATTAAGCAGGACTGTATAATAAATTCCGTGAACCTTATCTGCTAACTAATTTTCAACCATGAGTTTTGTTAGCATCAAATTTGTGTCCGCATTGTAGATTCGTTGCCGGCGTAATTATCCGGGAGCGAACCGTGCCTTTTGAAAGGATGCTCTGGCGGGCTTGTCGTGGAAACGTCTTTCTCCGATACGCTGATCTCGAAAGCATCGAGGACCCTGCTACAGTAGGTCATTTTAGTGCTACGCTAAAGGAGCACCATTTCTCAAACTCCGATCATTGTCCACTTTCATTGTGCAGGGTGAATTGCTGAACAAGTGCATGTTCATCGTTTTCTTTCAAGGGCCACAGCTTCGATCACGTGTGGAGAACATTTGTGACGGGTACGGTATCCGCCTTCATATCAATTAGTTTCACGCTGTTTGGGTGGTATATAGACCTTTATACGAATTTGAGTTCTTGGACGACCTTTAATCTAGTTCAAGCGTGATCTGTATGAAATCGTATATGTGTACCTCTACAGTCCTTCAACATGATCGAATATTTACTCTCTGGAGCGCATTTTTAGTATACTTTTTATGTTATTTGCCCTAAACTAATGCTTGTTAGTGGGAGAAACCCGGTACTTGTGTCTTGTTTCACCATCTGGCTAAAGGAATTTGATTAAATGCGGTCTATGGGCATCAAATAAGACCACGCTTAATGGTTATGTAACCGTTGTTTTCCTTTGCTCCTGGTAAAACCTGTGAGACGCAAGATCTCCTTCCGTGACTTGCGTCCACGAGTTCACATCGCTTCTGAAAGTTCAAATGTGGATGTTTGAGGATTGCACATATGCAGTTTTGTTTCCACTCTTATTTATTGAATCTCCTTATGGTCCTTGGTAGTTGTGATATTCTAAGTTGTTTTTTTCTATAGTTTTCATGCGACTCTCTACGCCTGTCCTGATACTCAGGAGAAACGTCAAGCGATGCTACTAGATGTCACCAGTCGTCGGGAGGACCTCCAAGTGGTGCTTAATCGTACCTCGGAGCACCGAGCGCGCGTATTGGAGACTGCCGCACAGAGCTTGCGCGAGTGGTTTTACAAGGTGTATAAGATGAAGTCGGTGTACCATGCCCTGAACCTCTTCAATCTCGACGTTACTACCAAATGCATGGTAGGCGAGTGCTGGTCTGCCGTCTCAGACCTAGACGCCGTGCAAATTGCCCTACGACGCGGCATGGAACTCTCTAACTCCAGCCTTCAGCCCATTCTCAACCGACTTCATACTACTGAAAAACCTCCAACCTTTCATCGCGTAAATAAGTTCACAGGCGCTTTCCAGAACATTGTCGATGCTTATGGTGTAGCAAAGTACCGGGAGGTGAATCCGGCTCTTTTCACTGTTATTACTTTCCCCTTCTTATTCGCTGTGATGTTTGGTGATGCTGGCCACGGTGCCATCATGTTTCTAATGGGACTCTTCTTGGTTTTCTTGGAAAAAGGATTTGCTGTAAGTTATTGCCTCTAACTAACAATACTTTGGACTATTTTGTGTTTTCTGGTTATTACGTGATCTTACTTAATTAGTGTACATTGTAAAGGAGTCCCCTTGATTGATCATGCCGGCACGATGTGAAGATAGGCTTCAGAAAAGGTTGTCACGTTATCATCGCTTCATGTGACTACCGTACTTGGATTATTTACAGCTGAAAACAAATCGGCTCTCATGCATTCCTTCTATTACCAAGCTTGATAGAGTTTGCTATTACACGTTATGCTCTGCTGGTTTTCAGCTTTCACGACGGCCTCAGTGCTGGCTATTTAATAAAGGATTTACCGTCTTGAAATAGTATGAATTAGTTTATCTTGAGCATTAACGGTGATGTCAGCAAGCTCGGGGACGTGTGGTGGCATGTAAAACTGGGCATCATACTCAGTCTTAACCGCAGAAAGTGAGTGCGCAGTTTGATTGAATCCAGCACCCAGTATTACAGCAGTTTCTCTTTGTCACTCTCGTGAACTGTCTGGTGCTAACACAGTAGCTAAGCGTGAAAGTGGAATTCCTTGCTGTTGTGATTGGTTGGTTAAATTGATTAATATAGAAAATACCTATGGAGTTTCCGCGTAGCGCGTGTCTATATTTGAAAAATCCAACATCTCTTTTTCATTCGTTAAGCGGATGATTAGAATGGTTCTTAGTTGTTTTTACATCATAGCAATGTTAAATTAGTAGCAACCACATTTACGTGCCGTAGATAACTTAAGTCTTCTAACAAATGAGGAAAGGTTTCTATTTGCACTCTTCTTTTAAAACCCACACTTGTCTCATGCTAAGCTTGTTTTGATGTGAAAATGAATTTCCATTCACCAAACATTCACACGTCAGCGAGTGATTCCTCCATCCCGCGTTTGTACGATAACGTACATTCGAATGGAAGAGTACTGCGTTACGTTGTATGTATTGCAGACGAAGAAAATAAAGGGTGAGCTCTGGGACACGTTTTTCGGTGGTCGGTACATAATCCTCTTAATGGGTCTCTTCTCAATCTATACGGGTCTGGTCTACAATGACATCTTCTCGAAGGCTGCAAATATTTTCGGTTCGTCGTGGTTTCCACTCTTCGACAATCGCACCTTAGAGGGCGGCGAATCCCTGCAGCTGAACCCCGACACGCACATTGGCGGAGGTTCTGCACCAGTAGGCATGTTCGCAGGTTTCCCCTACTCCTTTGGTTTGGATCCTGTATGGCAGGTCTCTCACAACGTGATCATGTTCACCAACTCACTCAAAATGAAATTGTCCATCATCCTTGGCGTGTTACATATGCTTTTTGGTATCCTCCTCGGCGCGTTCAATTACAAGTACGTATCTTCATATTTGTTCGTTTTTCATCATTGCCTATCTGGTTTTTTGGACAGCAAAAGCAATCACTAGGTTCGCTGAACTCTGTGGTGTAACTAAGGCTTTCTCCCATAATACTACTGCTTTTTAAACTCTAACTTGCGAGGAATTATAAGCTCTAAAATGGATTGCACATCCATTTCCAGTCGAATTATTTTTTACTCCATTTTGTTTTAAGACTAAAGCCACCAACAGCTAAAACCTCAGAAAATTCGCATTCACGCTCGTGGCACACATTCACTTCATTGTAAATTTGAAGGTTTATCTCATGGGAGGTATAAGCTTGACAGTTTATGGATTTTACATGAACTCAAAATACTTCTATTGATTGAAGCACATTGTGGAGATTGTAGCTTGATGAACGAATAAAGAAGGTTCATTGAAGTTGCCGCTACCTGGCGTTATCCTCCGAAGTGTCCCGTTGAATCGTTTCCTCTTCGTAACTCGCGGTCGGGTCTTTGGCACCATTGATTTCGAAAATTCTGCTACTGGCTTAAGCTCAGTAACATGCAATTAGTTAAATAAAAACGGGTGGGTGTTTCGCCATCAAATCACAGCCTTGGTTAACAGCGCCTTAAATGACTATCATTTCCTTTGCGTTCGGGTCATCGGTCCGGTAGTCTTAATCAAAATGCATATCTGTGTGATGGATGATTTCGAACTGACGTAACAATAGTTTCGCAAAGTAAATGTTTAATTAACACAAAACAAAGTTGGGTAATTATCATTTTCTTGGTTCTGCTCGAATTGTCGCAGGCTTTGTTTTATTTTCAAAATCAAGTTTCTTAGTCTGAAATAGAGGCGTCTGTTAGATTTAGGCCTCGTGTTAAAAGTTCGGGATAAACTTGGGACGATCTAGTTTTAACATTAGAATGACTATAGTTTCCTCTTGGTGCATTGTTAAAATCTATGCTACAGTGCTTATTTCTCATCCTTAGATTCTTCAAGAATTCTCTATCGATCTACTGCGATTTGATTCCTGAAGTCCTTTTTATGCTCTCTATCTTCGGCTATCTGGTATTCATGATCTTTTACAAATGGATCGTTTTTTGCTCAAAGGATGCTTCGACGGCTCCAAGCCTTCTTATTTGTTAGTTACTACATCTCTTTTGCAATATATGCCATTGATCGTTTTCGGTTCTTAAGCCTTGTGTATTCGCAGCCCAAGTTCGCAACTCCTATCACCGTTGATTTCGGCAAACAATTCATGCTACATTAAGGTAGATTGATTTTGCTTTTTAGCCCTCATAAATATGATGAAGTTTGACTACGAAAAAAAGGATGACACGCAGCTTCTCTACAATGGACAGGTGTGTTATTGCACATTCACGCGGTTGGCAAATGTTTTCATGGTTAATCTTACTCTTCTGAATTTTTATTCTACTTGTTCCACTAATGCACTTACTTAATTTGTTATTCTTGCCTCTCGCCTTTTTCGCACCTTTTGCTTCAATTCTCTGCCTTTCACTGGGTTTTGCTGTGTGCATTCAAAAACGGTTCTCACTAAGCTCTTGGTGTTTTGCACGCCTGTAAGCGATACAAGTAACTAATTCCCCCTCCCTAACTCTCAAAAGTGGGATTTCTCCTACACTTAGATTTTGGGGCAATATTTTTTCCCCATCTACCTTCACCAGTCATAAAACTTCAGCTATAAATGTGCAATTAGTTGGGATTTAAGTCTAGTTTTACTGACACATCACTTTTGTTATGTTAGCCTTTGAAATTTCCTTTTTACAAGTGGAACTAGCTATCATTAATCACGATCGATTCTGTCTGCAGCAAATAGTCCAAAGCATCTTGGTTGTGGTGGCCCTGCTCTGCATACCCTGGATGCTTTTAGCAAAACCCCTCATCCTCTATCGGCGTTACAAAGTTCGCAGGACCGTAAGTTCTCCAGTGTTTTCGCGACTGTCACTTTTCAAGTTTTCCATCCTCATGCTCAATTCAAGCTAATAAGCTGTGTTCTTTTTTCAATTTAGCCTCCTTTTCTCAGTTCACATTCGTTTTCACAACCGTTTTGCCCTTAGCCTCTTCAAGTCTCGACTTGCTCCTGTAGATTTTTAGCTAAGCAGTTGGTTGTTAGCAAATTAACCAAGTTAATGGACTTTAACACCTTTATTAGGGGTGGCCTTTTTTAATTTTCAGTTGGACACAATTCGGGCAGCTAGATTTGGTGATTTGAGCAACACGGACGATCCTGAGGCGGGAGTTGGGACAAACGATCAAATGCCCTTTCGCAACAATGTCTCGCCCTCCGATTCTGAGGTTCCACAATCTGGCATCGGACACGGCGATTCAGAGGAGGTAGGTCCTCCCCCTCATCTCTGCCTTCCTATATTGCGTTGCGCAAATCGTTGATCGCCTTATTCACTTGCTCGCACATATCAGACTGTGTAACCATTGCTACCAGCACTTATACTGCTAGAAAACAATAGAGTAATTCTTTGTGCATTTCTCGGCAGAATTGCATCAAGTAGGGTGAATATTGGAAAAATTTGACCCCCTTAAGAAACAATTAGCAACAAGCTGTTTGGTGCTCTTTTCCCTTTGCAGTTTGTGTTTGGTGAGGTGATGGTGTATCAGACCATACACACAATAGAATTTTGTCTTGGATGCATCTCCAATACGGCATCCTATCTCCGTCTGTGGGCCCTCAGTCTGGCACATGCTCGTAAGTCTTAACCCATCTCTTGCATCCTGATCGCGGCAAATCGCATAAGCCTTATCCTTAACCTATGCTTCTTATCGTTCAGAGTTGTCTGAGGTACTTTGGGAGATGCTGATGATGAACGGCCTTAAAGTGAATGGCTACTACGGTAGTATCATCCTTTTCTTTGTGTTTGCCGCATGGGCTGGCCTCACAGTCGGTGTTCTTGTCCTTATGGAAGGTCTCTCGGCCTTTCTTCACGCTCTTCGCCTTCACTGGTATGGACTTTGATTCTAGTAAATATCGGACTTTTATGATTTTTTCGTGTTTCACTTTAACAACAAATGCTCAGTAAAGTTATATTACTCATTTTTCATTGTTTGTTTGATCTTCTTAAGTCTCGTCAATTTTATCACTTTAAATGCTCTTTGATCAATGAGATCTCTTTGCCATTGGACCTTATAGGGTGGAATTTCAGAACAAATTCTATGAGGGTTCCGGTTACCTCTTTGAACCATTCTCCTTTGCGAACATTGAAAAGCTTAGCGTGGAGTGATCTTGGAACTTGGGCTAGAAACGTCTTTGGGGACGGTTGACATCCTTTTCCGTTCGCCCTCCCGCTTGTCCTCCGGCGACTTTTGCAAACCTTAATAGAACTTGTCTTGTTCACTTTTTTGCTCATCTCACAGTCGATTTTAACTAATCTGAATCAATTATGCAACCAAATTGAATCTCACTTCTCACCTGTTCTATTCGTAATGTCAACGTCTGACCTTTGGTGAGGTATCGGGGGCGTGTTATTAACATGAGCTGCGTAGCGTGTTGAATAAAATTGGCCATAGTTTTCTATTTCAAAGCCCTTCATTCACCCATTAGTTCGGTTCCCACAAAGAAATAAAATTGGAAGTTTGCTGTCATCTGCATCCCTTCGACTATTTGTTTCTACACGGGCAGTTTATACGAATGGTGTCTAAATTTGCAGCTTTTCGCTTGTAACGCCAGCCAACGAGTTGGACTTGTTTGCCGTCCCAAAGTCCAACAAATTTGATCCAATTGATTCACTCATCTTTTTGTTCAAGTTGAGGACGAATTTGTGAAAGGTGGGAGCACGTACGACTCGTACAAAACATGTTATGCACTAGGCATTAAAGTCGGGACTACTGCACAAAAGGTTCATATGAAGATTTGGGGTGAACTTATTCAAGTACTCCCGCGTACTCGCAATGGCAGCGCTGCGCTCTTCCGTCGCTTCGCTATCATTACGTCGGCGAGTGTTTACGATGTCTTTGAGACAGTCATTGTACTGATGGAGATTTGGCGTTCGTTTCTTTTGTTCCGTCTCCTTCACTTCATGGCTGTGGAACAGTTGCAGTTGGGATAGCGTAACTGACCTTTTTTTCCATCGCACCAGCATTAGCTCTACGTTCTTCGCTAAGCAGTAAACGAGAATCGCTTTCAATCATAATTGCCTGGAATCTTGGTTTTCTGAACTACTAGACAGCTTACGTTTTATTACTAATAGCAACTTAGGGTTTTGAACTCCTCTAATTTAAACAAAACATCATTCATTGTAATGTTAAGGTAGTTAGAAGGGAATACTTCAAGAAAGGCCGGGGCTCTATTGGAGATGTTTCTCTAGATGAGTGAGTGTACTGAATCTTCACAGCGTCGACACGCAGCTACCTCTTTTCCATTTTCAGTTTAAAAAATGCAGTACAATTAGTGTGAGGGCTTTGTTCGCATTCAACATTGGGTCTTCTGCAGACCACCTATTTGACTGACTGCGGAGTGGGTAACTTAACTCCCACTGGATCTTGCGTACCATATCGACAACTCATCACTTGTGTGGAAAATATGAGACGAGGTCTGTCGACTAACTCTGATCTGTCGAATTGGACTAGGTTTCCGATTGGGTTAGTCGGTAAGAAGAGACCTTTACACTCGTTTCTGAATTATGGCCATGTTTGCTTAGCAAAATGTTAAATGAAGGATACACATGAGACGTTGCTTTCCGAATATACCACGGTGCTTCAATAAGGTCTACCAATTCGAACTCTTCGTATGCAAACCTTTAATTATTTCTCAACATTAATACTAATTAACTAGTAACCTCTAAGAATTGTCTCACTGCAACAATGTTCGTTTCAGCATACCGTGTAAAGGTGTCCTATATTTTACAAATTTGTCGCCTTATTGAAATGCATTTTTAGGCTTTGGAGCAGTTATAGAGTATGGATAACCTTGCTAGTTCGTGAGCACGTAGGTGTTGAAGAAAATCGTCGAACGACGACTAAGCCTCACCTCTATCGGTATCACCAACAATCTACCACTCGGCAGTGTTTGCAAAAACTGCACTTAGAGACGACAGTATTTGGGCCGTGTCCTTGCTGAAATCGGCCATTAATATTATTGGCTGGCGGATTGCGGCCTGATTCAATGAATGGTGTAGATATGAGGATGTGTCAATCACTGACCCATTCCGTTCAACAAAAAACCCTGATGCAATATTTGCCAGTCGAAAGTAGGACTTTCTGATATTTCATATTAATGTTCTATAATATAGAGAGATCTTTAGAGTGCACTTGTATTTAAACGTTCAGCCTTCTAAGCGTAAAACGGTGAATTCGTTTTTGTGGGAATATGTCTTCAAATTTTGCCGTTTATGCCAACTAGGCCCTTCTAGTTTTTGTCTAGAATTATGGAATTTTCCAATATATGCAATACGTGAACTTAAGAAAGATTACAGCCCTTAAATCGCATTCCCCCTATCAAACGTTGCGCCTACTGTAGCCGCAGCGATGGACATGACAAGTTACTTTCCGGCTAGCATCTTTACGCCTGATTGATTGAATCTCCAATGCTTCCAACTCTACATATCTCACTTTATACTTGTACGCAAGAAGCATTTGCAGCATGAGATTTCGGCTTCTTTCATTCCTCTATTATCATCCAAAGTTTTTCTCACCTTACATTCATTTCCAATTGGAATTATTGTACGGATTTCATTCATATTTTCTGTAGAGATTTTACTGCGTTGATTGCCCAAGAATTTAATGCAGCATTTATTATTGCCTACTCCTTACTCTCCGCTGGAGAGTAGGAGGCTCATCAATATCATCCACTGTTAAACTTGATTTCTTGCATTGACTTTTGAGAATCAGCATCGATGGCTCAGGTCCTTGTGCAGTTGAGCTAGACAGCATTTGTTGAAGACAACGCTCACACAAGCGCATAAAGTCGTTTTTTTGGTAGAATGTGACTGACCACATACCATTCGTAATTACAAACTTTGAATTTCTGTGATTTTTTAAAGAACTTTAATTTGACTAACATGGGATGAACATCTCCACCCCAACCTCATTTTATCAATCATTCCATCCCATCCACTATAGCCAAACAAACGCTATCAAATGTTATCATTTTTGAGCGATTGTAACTCTCGAAGAGGAATGTGCGTTGGACGTTTACTCATAGTTTTGGAGGAGCTGCAGTAAATTGAAATTCATTATTAGCAAATTCCTCAACCTTAGTGTTAGCTTTGGCTGATTTCTATCGCTTATTTTAAAAGCGCATTGGATTTCAATTAGTTTTCATTGTATATGTAATGGCGTATCAGACCAAGTATCTCCATAGCCACTGGATTTTCCAATTCTCTGTGACAATTTCATCCTCATTTACATTATCTCCATTTGATTCAGTTCATCCACGATCAAGATTAATGAAGCGGTTATGAGGTAAGCACCATTACTACTGGCCTCTAAAAATTGTTTGATTTTTTGGATTTCGCAGTCTCATAACTCATCTGTTGGAAATCCTTCATCACTTGATTAGGTCCTTCGTAAACTTCGATAAGTTCCTAAAGCTCGGTGATCCACAGCAAAATGAAATCATTAGATGCTTTTGTGTCACCCCAAATCCTTGGCGTAGTTTAATATTCTACAGTCAGAATGCATACCTCTTCATATACTCCCATTCATAATAGAATAATCTCGAATTACACTTCCCATCAAATGGACACTGCGAGGGTTATGTGACATCACTCCTTTCACAGCTCCCTCTCACCCAACAATTCCAAGGCACTTTATATATCTTCGTTCCTCCGCCTTATTCCCATCCTTTGTTTGAGAAACTTTGTTCTGTCGAAGCCCATGAGTAACTGAGGGTCTCATTCACCATCCAATTCATTTATTCTTCCCATTTTGTGCGACAGCTTTCCCAAGTTAGGTTCACAGACCGATGAACCTTTGTCAAAGTCTTCGAGTAGCTAAGATCAGGCAATCACAGGTGGCAATTCCGATTTGCTTTGATTGCCGTCAATCAAGCTTTCCATTAACGAGCGCTGCCGATGCTGTTAAAATGAGGATAAGTCACACTTTTTAAGATGAGTTTGCACCCTATGAATGCCTTCTTCTTATGACGCTGGCTTTGATTTCCCGGGACCTTACTGATAAGACTCTGAAAACAACTTCACCGTCATCAGCTCGTGGTTTGGGTCGAGGAAATAGGATCTAACATTTTCTCCATTCCACTTCAATGTTAACTAGCCCATTACAAGTGAAGTGAGGAAGGTGCTTCTTTTCAATCTCAAAAGTTTGCTTTAACCTCTCCATCCAATACTTCATCAAATTTATCGATTTAACGTTAAATCGAATAACAAGAACACTCCAGTAAAACAAATGAACTTTTAGTCAGTTCTTAACCGAAAATGTTACGAAAATAGTACTTATCGCCTAATTCCATTTTTCCTT